TGGATATAGACTAAACTGGAGTCAGATGATCAGATTCTCACCCCCCACCCTGGTCCCTGTAGGGTGAGTTGAGGGATTGAGGTGGCATAAAACAGCTCTAGAAACTTCAGATGAGACTGGGGGTGCCAGGGGTGAGGATGGAGATGTGAGGGATGTGAAAAGGCTCAAGATTCTGAGCAACGATGCTCTAGGCTGAAGTCAAGCAGTGAGATGGACGTACACAAGACACATTTCACCTGCCTGCTTTTACTATCCCAAATGTTTGGTGAAAAATTTCTCCAATTATTTGGAGAACATTTGAGAGGACTATAAAAATTAATGAGAGAAATTACCAGGGCCAGATGTTTTACTTAATGCAGTGGGTGTTTTTTTTTTTTTAAATTGCCTTGGGGCAGTGTAAAATTTATAATTCATAATTTCCTTTTTGGTTTTGTAAATTAGTATTGTAATTGCTTGTGTCCTGGTGGTGTCTACAGTCCACAACAAATGTTATTGGCTCTATTGTGCTAGGCACGATAGTCTCTTTCCTGAGAACAAAAAGTTGGAGAAAGGATGTCTCTCTTAAATATTCAACATCCCTGCCCTTTCAACTGATCTGTAAGAATTCACCATCAACGTGTTTGAGACTGCCAAAAGGCCCTTTAGGAAAACCAGACTTGATATTCCAGATCAATGTTCTGGCAAACATAACACAAGATGCAGTGTTAGTTGGTGCCAGCTACACACCACCAAATCACACTAGGGAACAGGATGACTCCAGCTTAAGTGACTAACTCTACTGTGTAGGGGGAAAAAAGCTGCATGATTATGGGGGACTTCAATTTGAGTGACATATGATGGAGGTCTCGTTGCAAGTACTAAAACATCCTTGGAATTTCCAAACATTAGAGATGACCGTTTCATAACTCAAAGTGTTGCAGCCAACAAGAGGGAATTCTTTTAGACCCTTTCTTAACAGATAAAGAGAAACTGATCACGGAGTGAAAAATTAAAGGTTGCTTAAGTACAAGTGGTCACGACTTCGTCACGTTTATAATGTGCAAGCACAATCAAGTCCAGATCAGTAATCTACTTGGTGCTGTATTAGGGCCAGTTTCACAAAGCAGAAAACAATTAAGCCAAATCAGCTGGGAGGAAGAACTTAATCAGAAAAATGTCAATTATAATTGGTAATCCTTTGAAGAACACCTTATTAGATGGCCAAAAAGCCACAATCTAGGAAGAAGGTTGTGCTGGTTTAAAAACCGACCTGGTTTGGAGGGGAAGTGAACACCGCTATAATAAATACATACATTTAAATTACATAAAAACAAATTAGGGGGTGGAGGGGAAATTGATAATAATGAATATAACTCAGAAGTTAGGAATTGTAGAAAACTGATAAGGGAAGAAAAGGGACACAATGCAAAATCTATGGCCAGCAGTGTTAAGGACAATAAGAAGGTGTGGGGTGGCTTTAATATATTGGGAACAAAAGGAATCCTGACAATGGTATTGGTCCATTACTAGATGGAAATGGTAGAATTATCAATGAAAAGGCAGAAGTGTTCAATAAACATTCATGTCCTGTCTCTGGGGGGAAAAAACAGGTGATACAGTCGCATCATATGAGGTTGATAACTTTTTTTTCCCTTCCACTAGTATCTTTGGATGATAAACAGAAGCTACTAAAGTTAGACATTTTTAAAGCAGCAGGTCCAGATAATTTGCATCCAGGAGTTTTAAAAGAGCTGGCTGTGGAGCTCACTAGACCATTTAATGTTGATTTTCAATAAGTTTTGGTGCACTGGGGAAGTTCCAGGAGACTGGAGAAAAGCTAATATTGTACCAGTTTTTAAAAAGGGTAAACAGTTACTTGGGGTCATCCTATAGGCCTGTCAGCCTGACATCAGTCCCGGGCAAGATAATGGAACAGCTGATGTGGGACTCGATTAATAAAGATTTAAAGGAGGGTAATGTAATTAATGCAAATTGACATGGGGTTGTTGAAAACAGATCCTGTCAAACTTGTAATAGTGTCAAGTTTGGGTGATAAATGTAATAGTCTATTGGGTGCCTGACTTGGTACAATACAACATTTTGATAATTTATATCGTTCTATTTTTTTAACGTGGCACACATTAAATGGATTAAAAATTGGCTAACTGATAGGTCTCAAAATGTAATTGTAAATAGGGAATTGTGATCAAATGGGTGTCTTTTCCAGTGGAGTCCATCAATAATCAGTTCTTTGCCCTAAACTATTTAACATTTTTTATCCATGATCTAGGGGGAAAAAACATTAAATCATTGCTAAAGTTTGAAGATGACACAGAAATTGGGGGGAGTGGTGAATAAAGAAGAGGACAAGCTACTGATTCAGAGTGATCTGGATCGCTTGGTAAACTGGGCGCAAGCAAACAGCATGCATTTTAATATGGTTAAATGTAAATGTTAGGGCAGTCAATCGCAGTTAACTTGCGTGATTAAGTAAAAAAAATTAATTGCGATTAATTGCAGTTTTAATCGTACTGTTAAACAGATTACCAATTGAAATGTATTAAATATTTTGGATGTTTTTCTACATTTTCATATATTGTATTCTGTGTTGTAATTGAAATCAAAGTGTATGTTTGTGATTACAAATATTTGCACTTCAAAAATAAGAGTATTTTTAGTTCACCTCGTACAAGCACTGTAATATAATCTTTGTCGTGAAAGTGAAGCTTACAAATGTAGATTTTTTTTTTTAATTTTTGTTTTGTTTTTGAGTGCAGTTATCTAAACTTTTAGAGCCTACAAGTCCACTCAGTTCTACTGCTTGTTCAGCCAAGCACTAAGACAAATAAGTTTGTTTACATTTACAGGAGATAATGCTACCCTCTTCTTCTTTATTATGTCACTAAAAGTGAGAACAGTCTTTTGCATGGCTCTTTTGTAGCTGGCATTGCAAGGTAGGTACTTCCGTGCAAAATATTGGTATGCTCTTTCATGCTTCAGCCACCGTTCCAGAGGATATGCTTCCATACTGATGATGCTCGTTACTTAATGCATTAATTAAGTTTGACTGATCTCCTTGGGGGAGAACTGTTTGTCCCCCTGCTCTGTTTTACCCTCATTCTGCCATATATTTCATGGTATAGCAGTCTCAGATGATGACCCAGCACATGTTGTTCATTTTAAGAACATTTTCACTGCAGATTTGACAAAACGCAAAGAAGGCACCAATGTGAGATTTCTAAAGATAGCTACAGCACTCCACCCAACCTTTAAGAATCTGAAGTGCCTTCCAAAATCTGAAAGCGACAAGGTGTGGAGCATGCTTTCAGAAGTCTTAAGAGCAACACACCGATGTGGAAACTACAGAACCCGAACCACCAAAGAAGAAAATCAATCTTCTGCTGGTGGCATCCGACTCAGATAATGAAAATGAACCTGCATCTGTTCGCACTACTCTCGATTGTTATCGAGCAGAACCCGTCATCAGCATGGTTGCATGTCCTCTGGAATGGTGGTTGAAGCATCAAGGGACATATGAATCTTTAGCGCATCTGGCACGTACATATCTTGCGATTCCAGCTACAACAGTGCCATGAGAACACCTGTTCTCACTTTCAGGTGACACTGTAAACAGGAAGCAGGCAGCATTATCTCCTGCAAATGTAAACAAACTTATTTGTCTTAGCGCTTGGCTGAACAAGAAGTAGGACTGAGTGGACTTGCAGGCTCTAAAAGTTTACATTGTTTTATTTTTAAATGCAGTTTTTTGTACCTAATTCTATATTTGTAAGTTCAGCTTTCACGATAAAGAGATTGCACTACTGTACTTGTATTAGGTGAATTGAAAAATACGATTTGTTTTTTACAGTGCAAATGCTTGTAATCAAAAATAAATATAAAGTGAGCACTGTACGCTTTGTATTGTGTTGTACTTGAAATCAATATATTTGAAAACGTAGAAAACATCCAAAAATATTTAAATAAATGGTATTCAATTATTGTTTAACAGTGCGATAAATCACAATTATTTTTTTTTAATTGCTTGACAGCCCTAGTAAATGTATACGTCTATGAACAAAGAATGTAGGCCTTGCTTACCTCATGGGGTCTCTTTCTTGGGAGGCCATTAATCTGAAAAATTTGGGGGGGAGCGGTTATGGTAGATAATCAGCTGATTATCTCAGTATGCTGCTGCGGCCAAAAAAGCTAATGCGATCGGATGCGTAAATGGGAGAATCTCGAGTAGGAGTAGAGATGTTATTCTACCTCTGCATTTGGCACTTGTATGATTGCTGCTGGAATACAGTGTCCAGTTCTGGTGTCTCCAATTTATCAGCATCATTCTTGAATTGTGGAGTGTTCAAAGGAGCCATGAGAATGATTAAAGAATTAGAAATAGACTCAAAGCTCCATCTATTTATCTTAACAAAGAGAAGGTTAATGGGCAACTTGATTACAATGTATAGGTATCTACATGGCAAATGAATATGTAATAATTCTTCAGTCTAGCAAAGAAATATATAACATGATCCATTAGACTTGGATGTTGAATCTAGACATAAATTTACACCTTATTTCCATTTTCAATTTAACAATGAGGATAATTAACCATTGGGATAATTTACCAGGGGTTATTGTGGATTCTCCCTTACTGACAACTTTTAAATCCTCATTGGATTTTTTTTCCTAAAAGATTTGCTCTGGGGTTATTTTGGGCAAGTTCTATGCCCTGTGTTTATACAAGAGGTCAGACTAGTTGATCACACTGGTCCCTTCTGGCCTTGGAATCTGTGAATCTATGAAAGCTTTAAGTGTAAGACTAGTGATGATGATGATTTACAATATTTTCTAGGTTACTTCTTGTTGTACTTTAGGTAAATGAGAGCCATACATTTTATAACTTGAACATCTTGATCACTTCCAGTTTGTATTTTATTTTATTTTTTTTTAAATTGTGCTAGCTGGTATAGAGAAACAATACTATCTATAAAATTGGTATCCCATTCTTCTCTTCTAGGTTCTCTGTGAAGACTCTGATTGATCGTTCCTGTTTTGAGACTATTGATGATTCTTCCCCTGAATTTAATAATTTTGCAGCCATTTTGGAACAGATTTTAAGTCATCGTCTGAAAGGTACATTAATAATTCTCTATCTTCCAGTTGTTATACCCTCTTTGTTTTCGATTTAAAAAAAAAATGGAGTGTGCACTAGGCTCAGTGAATACACCTCTACCCCGATATAATGCGACCCGATATAACACTAATTCAGATACAACGCGGTAAAGCAGTGCTCGGGGGAGCGCGCTCCGGCGGATCAGAGCAAGTTCAATATAACGCGGTTTCACCTATAACGCGGTAAGATTTTTTTTTTGGCTACTGAGGATAGCGTTATATCGGGGTAGAGGTGTATATGCTCAAAGTTTAAATGGAAACCAAGTGTTTTTTACATTGAGTTTTGCTGATGTAAAACTGAAGTATAGTTACATTTCTATCAATGTCAGATTGCTAGTAATCACATCATGTCACTTGCTCTAGAACCCATCTTCAGAGTGTCAGAAGATATGGCAGCTGCTACACGCAACCAGATCAGGAGAACTAACACTAGAAGTCTTTCTGTGAAGTGCGTGGGCAAAAGGATTTTCAGTTTGTTTTGAATGTTTGTGTCCATCAGTAGAATCCAAGTCTTGAATGTCCTTGGCTAGTCTCATGTCTAATGAACATCCCAAAAGTTATCCTACAGAGCTACAATTTCCATGTGGAAAATCCCTGTTCTAAATAGATAATGAAACTTTGAACTATTCAATATTTGCCTTCCATGCAGTGGTCATGTGATTGTATTGGGTGTATAAACCCACACTGGGACAGGGGGGTTTCAGGAGCAGTTCTGGGCCCAGGAGATTCTGCTTCTCTGCACCTGCAGAGTCTTCTCTAGCTGGTGGAGAAGCTTTTAAAAGGGAGCCAGACAGCTCGAAAGGGGGACAAACAGAATATGAAAACAGATCTATCCTGAGAACTCTTGAGCAAGGGCACAAATAAATCCTATTGCAAGGGAAGGGTTCGTAAGAGAAGGAGCAGGAGAAGGTCCAGGGTGGAGACTAAAGTGAGAGGTAGCTGCAAACTTTCTCTTTTGGGCTTGGGCCTGAGTCTTGTGCCAGGAGCCTGACTATAGTTGGGTTGATCAGGGACTGTTGCTTGCATGAAACCTTGGATAGAGGGAGAGTGTGACTGACCCCGAGTGGGGTGCAGCCCAGGAACTTGGATCAGTGTGCAGCTGGGGCTAGTGTGCAAGAAATGGGGCTACTAGCTGAGCTGACCTGGACTGAACATTCAGTTGCTTTTGTTATTTTCTATTGGACTTTAAGGGAAATACTTTGAGGCCTTGTGAGAAGAAAGTGGTAGGAAGTGGCCCAGGAAGGCAGGCCCAAAGCACTCCAGAGTGTTTGCTATTATTGCCTCTTGTAGGGCCTTGGGTTGGCATCTGGTGGAGGCGGAGGGCCTGGGCTCTCCTACCAATCACTCTTTCCAGGGAAGGGGCATAAACCTCTCTTCCTTCTCCCCTACCCCTCCTTGGAGAAGAAGAAGATAGAGACTGTAAGCACTCCTGCAATTGTTTATAACAAGGATGTATTGAATAAATGTAAAAGGACCTGTGGAAGTATTGAGTTGTCTTGCTACAAAAGAGACACCCTATTTTTTCAGAAGGGAAATAAGTGTTTATGCTATCTGAAGGACAGTAGAATCTTTCTGCAGGTAAAGAAAGGGTCTCTGGTTCTCATAAAATGAATCAGGACTATGAGTCCAGCTCAGGGTTGCCAGGCGTCTGGTTTTTGACCAGAATGCCCAGTCGCTCCCGGAAGTGGCCGGCATGCCTGACTCCTAGGCACAGGGGTGGCTATGAGGGCTCTGCACATTCCCCTTGCCCTGAGCGTCGGCCCTGCAGCAGGGGTAGTTCCTGTGGGACAGGGCAGCGCTCAGAGCTGCCTTACCGTGCCTCCGCCTAGGAGCCGCAGGGACATACCTCAGGCAGCTCCCATAAGTGGCGGTAAGTGCTGCCCAGAGCGTGCATCCCCTCCCACACCCCAACACACTGCTCCAGCCCTGAGCCCCCTCCCGCACCTAAACTCCCTCCCAGAGCCCACACTCCGCATCCCCTTCTGCGTCCTAACCCCCTGTCCCAGCCCAGTGAAAGTGAGTGAAGGTGGGGGAGAGCGAGCAATGGTGGGGTGTGTGTGGACTGAGTGGGGGTGGGGCCTTGGAGAAGGGGTGGGGTGGGGCTTTGAGGCAGGGCAAGGGTGTTTGGTTTTGTGCGATTAGAAAGTTGGCAACCCTAGTCAAGCCATCTGTGCAGTGGTGACTTCTTGAGACAAACTGTTTCCTAGTAGGAATTGGAACTACTAGTTTGTGCTATGAGCAGGTTAAGTTGTTCATGTTTTCAAAGCGTAAACAGTGCTTTTCGATGAATATTATTGGAAAAAATGTTGGTCTGAGTCATGATATGCCTGAAAGTGCAATTCTACTCTGAAAAAACTTTAAAATGCCATTTTGGTTGTTTCTCAGTTCTTTCTCAATTATTTATAAACTGAGTATATTTGATACGTAAAACAACACTTTTACACCTTCCAACTCTGTAAGCACTGAACAGTTCTTGGTCATTCCCTGGAGGTGAGGAGGGTGGCCCTGTCTGGGGAGCCCCCTTTTACCTGCTGCTCTTTACAGTAAAGTGGTCATCATGGGGTTAACTGCATTACAGTTATTGCAGAATATTAAGGGATGGAGCCATCCTCTACCCCTCCCTCCTTCCTGTGTTGTCAGTGAGAGTACTCCCTCTCATGCCCTCCCCCAAACACTTGGTTGTGATGCTGTTGAATAAAACAGCAAGTTCCCAGCCTGCAGTCCTTTTGAGTGGTGGTGTTTTTGTTGCACTGAGCAGTTCCATTACAAACCCTCCAGTACAGCAGTCTTTGCTTTGTCTGTTTCTGGGTAGAGTAGTTGGCATCTCTGGCTGGCTTGTCTCTGCAGTTTTCCCAGAAGCCCACATGATGGTGGTGAAATAACATTTTCAATTACATGAATTTACTTAATATTTCAAAATATTTTATTGCTGACTGCAACTTCAAAATTTGTGTTCTTGTTCAGTAATGGTTTTCTATTAGTTTTTTAAAATTGTGACCTGTATAAGAATTGGATTTCTAGGTGGTCAAGATACAGTGATAGAAATTCTACATGTATACAGCACTTCCAGGTGAAATGATAATACTCTGAACCAGTGAATTTCATATTCCGTCTAATAAGTAAGTTTACTAAGTTAATAATAAGCTGCTTAGTCACCTTTTTCCTGTGACGTTATCTTGCTGTCGCTGTGCATCAGTCAGTCATGACTTTTATAATTGGGTGGCGGTGCACTAAAAATGAATGTCTAATCTAGTGATGAAGAATGTTTAATTGCACTTTTAGTTTTGAAGGTATCATTTTTAGTCTGATTTGAAGTAAGAGGGAAATTAGCAGTTGTCTTAAAAGTGGGCAGGTTCCTGCTTCCACCAGTTTGTTTTCTTAAGCACGCCAAGATAACCACTCCCAGAGGATTCTTGGTGGTTCTATGGAACATAAAGGCACAGCTCCCTTTTGCTCCTGAGCCGTCCTGAACAATCTGGCTCCACCTGGCCCTCTATACCACCCATCTACTCTCATACCTCCTAAATGCCATCAGACACAACTATGCTGTTTGCAAGCTCCAGGGCAGCAAAAAATCGAAAGGACGAGACTGTCTTCCCTCCCCTCTAGACAAAATGGCTGCCGAGGAGGAGAGTGGAGCTGTTATGGCCCTATTGAAAATGATTGGAGAGGACACAATTGAAATTAAATCCACCATGTTCACAATGCAAGCTCCAATTGAATCTATTGATTCTTCTCTATTAAATCTGACTGGATATGTAACAGGCTGTGGGCTATATAGCTGCCACTGAAAATCAAATAGGAGGTATGCAGACTCAGATTTTTCAGAAATGTTATCAATTCCCTGAAAGCAGTGAAGTCCTAAAGAGTGATCATAGCGTACTAATTTGAGAATGGTGTGGTTTGTGGAAGGGGCTCCTTGCAGAGATTCTGGATTTACCAGAGGATTATGCCTTTGATATAGAAAGGGCACACAAACCTTACCTCTAAACCTGCCCCTGATGCTAAAACAAAATCCATTATTCATTTCCTGAAATTTACTGTTAGTTTGTTATGCAGAAAGCTAGGGAGGAGACATCTCTGGTGCAGTGCTTCTAATGCTAGAATCATGATTTTTCAGGACTTTGCTAAAGATGTGGCATGCAAGACTGCCTTTAATAATGCAAGGAACATGGGTAAGTGAAAAAGCCTTAAAAATACTCTCTGAAGTTTCCAGTCTTATTATATGTAAAGTACAGAGAAGAGACTCATGTATTTCAAAAGCCTCAAGAGGCAGAAAACTTCCGTTAAGTCTCCAGGTCCACTGTATGCTGTCCATTATACGCTCCTGTTTTTTAAAAACATGGATTTGTGATTTCCCCAATCAATTCCTAACAATGGTTTGAAATTGCCTGTGGATTAAACTCCTCTCCCTATTTTTCCCCCCCCCCTTTCATTTTTGCTGTTAGAATTTTGAAACTTGCCTTAGTAGAGGGGTATCTCCTTAGCTTTCTGTGTGGCCAAGATCACGCCCTATTGCTCTTCTGTGGGATAATCCATTAGGCACTACAATCCAATTCAAATCTGTTTATCCTTTGAGTTCTTCCCGGAGGGTAAAATAATCAGCTTCAACTATTCACCAGTGGGGGTTGCTGCCTAAGGAGGACTCTGGGATCTTCTTTTATCCCTGTTCTCCTGTCCATATCCTATCCTTCCACTGGAGAGCAGAGTTTTGGCCCTGAACTGTTGAAGCCCAGAATCATGATGGGAGATCTTGGTAATTTGCCTAAATCTATAGTCCCTTCCCATTGGGAGTGCTGTGTAGGGAAGGACTGGTGAAAGTTATCTGAATTGTTACACTATACTCCTTGCTCGCTGCTAGTTAACTGTATTAAACACCCTTGTGTATTGTCCGTTCTTTTGCTAGTAATCAGTGGTCCTGATAATGAGGGGTGCCTCTGGGAATGTAAAGGGATAAGATT